GTCAAATTGATGAAAGTGGCTTTATTCTTGTTAGTGATATTTCGAACCATTTAATCGTCTCCGCCGAGTCCTTCCAAAGGTTAGCATGATATTTATTCAGGACACAAGATGTTATTTCCTTTAAGATACTCTTGAAATTAATCCCAACTCAGATTTGGAGGGATTACTTAGACGGGTCTGTAAGCTATTGACAAAGTTCGCTTATGATCCTTGAAGAGAATGTATGCATCTTTCAAACCAAATTTGCCCATTCTGTCAGCAACTCCACATTTGTTAGCAAATTTACAGATGTCTTCATTGATAGATGATAAGGTGTTATTGCCTTTGTCTTTTTATAAGAGCTGGTAATTTTGTCAGTGACGATTCTGTCATATTCAGCAGGTTTAATTTTATAGAAATTTTGGATTTGTCGGCTTTAATCCATAATTTATTAGATTTCATTATGTTGTTAAGGTCTCTACCAATTTTGGTTTGGAAGTAGTTGTGATAATTCTTGAACTTAATCCTTTTAATTAGATCAATCAAATCGCCTTCGAACGGTCCAAGTAGCTTGTTGCACGGTGGAGTATTTTGGGATCTCAGGTTGTATGTTTCAGGATTCAGTTCATGATCATTTTGGGGATTACTGGTGAAATGGGTTTTCCACCTCATTCTTATAATAAGGTCGATGATCCTGTCTGTTCCCGAGGGAAATATAAACGAGAAAAAAGATACATAGGTATATCCGCCCGGTGATTGGAAGCAGCGTCTATACAACCATAGACGCTCATTTAGATATAGATGCCTCAGTAGACAGACTTCCTTATCCAAACACTACTGGGAACTGGTGGATACGGGATTAAACCCAATTTTGAAATGGAGATTCCTATCTAGAGCCAGAACACCTAATAACTTCCGCGATCGGTGTGATCTATGCATGGCGGAAAAAATCTTCATTATCAAAGATAAAAATAGAGATGAGCTGCTGAATCTTGAATGAGGTATTCTCTAAATGTAGACATAAGAAAGGTTTCAAAACTTGAACACCGTTGTGTAACATGTTGTCACTTATGTCGGCTCCATCTCGGTCCTATAACATCGGGCATGACATTTTTTAATTGTATGACTATTATGTTTATCTCTAAATGTACCTTTTGTGCACGTTTATGTGATGTGCTATGTATTTATATATATATGTTTGTGTATGTGTGTGCATGTATGTATATGTATGTGTATGTATGTGCATGTATGTGTATGTAGATATGTATATATATATGTATATATATATAAATTTTTTTTTTTTTTTTTTTTCATACACGCGCAAAATATTTGAATCGTCCTTATTTAGATTTTAACTTTTTATATATATGTACATGTGTATATCTCTGTGTGTATTTATATGTATGTATGTGTATGTGTGTATATGTGTGTATATTTGTATGTATATGTATGTGTATATATGTGTGTATATGTGTGTATGTATGTAAGTGTATATATGTACGTATGGAGATGTTTATGTTATGTATGTATATGTATAGGTGTGTATGTGTACTTATGTGTATACATGTTTATGTGTGTGTGTGTGTGTATATATACATGTGTAAGGGTGTGTATGTATTTGCATGTGTATATATATATACATATATAAGGGTGTGTATGTATTTGCATGTGTATATATATACATATGTAAGGGTGTGTATGTATTTGCATGTGTATATGTATGTGTATATGTATGTATGTGTGTATATATGTATGTATGTGTGTGTATGTGTATGTGCGTGGATGTATGGGTATATGTGTATATATATATATATGTATATATATATATATATATATATATATATATATATATGTGTATGTATAAGTATGTATGAATGTATACATGGGGCATATGTATGCGTGTATATGTATGTGAAAAGTGTGTGTATATGAATATAGCTGAATATGAGTATGTGTGGATATGTGAATATATTTTTAGGTTTTTTTATATTTTACATTTGATACGCCAGAGCAGTTATGAATGTACAAGATTCATGGAAGATTGAAGTTTATAAGCAGTAAATTGACCTTGTCTCACCGAACGCTCCTTTGTGGCCGATCGGTAAGGCACGTCAGCGTAAATGACGGTTCCAGATAGGATGCAGGTTCGAATCCTGTCAAAGGACGAATATTTTCTATGAAAATTTCTCGACATTCAGGCTGGTAAATGTTATTTAATACTGTTTATTATAAACAGAGCATTTACTTAAATACTTGTATCTATAAAAAGAACGTTAAACATAAAATGTCTTTTAATAAATAAATTGTCGGACTTTGTCCATTTCTTAATATATATATATATATATATTCTGATAGATTCTTCAATTTTATTGCCAAAATTCTGGTCACCCTCATATGTTAAATTATATCATTATATATATATATATATATATATATATATATATATATATATATTTATTTTAAGGTATACTATATGTGTTAAAGTGCTCAATATCAGGGATAGAGCATATAAAAAATATAAAGTGGACATTGAAGTCAACACCAGCAGCAACAATCTGTTTCATCATCAGACATGAAAATAATGTTTAAGCATGAAACAGAATGGGTGTTGACCTCAATGTCCACACACACACACACATATATATATATATATATATATATATATATATATATATATATAATTAATGTATGTCAATGTGAACAACATTTTATTGATGATAATATAGACTTTAAGCAGTTAATGATTTTTTTTTTTTAGTCTGGCATTATTTCTTATTATAAACATTATATTTCTTAGGTACACATGTTTGAATAGACATCCCTGTTATTTTAAACAGTGGATTTAATGTGAACTGGCCTAGAAATTGAAAAGTCTTACTAAAGAAAATGTACCTTCCCTGTTAGAATAACCATTTTTAAGCTAAATGTACCTTACTAATGGGCCACAGGAAGCTAACATAGTAAAGCCAGACTCACTTACCTTATTCAAGAAATGCACACCTCTCCTGCATAGCTGAAATGTTAAAGTAATTTTTAAGCTATTAATGGATTTTTAAAAAGGCTGACTCCAATTTGAAAATAAAGCTAGCAGATATAGACTTTGAAAAGTCCCAATGAGAAGTGTGCATTTTTTAAATGGGTAATTGTATTTTGCAAAAATAAGTTCATGATTTCCCATGCTAAGGCGCACTTGGCTTAAATAGTTTCCCTGAAAAAAAAAAAGAAAGTGAATATACATTTAATTCATATAAGGAGACACTTTTTCTTCAGGAGAACCTTTCAGTCTCTAAGCTGGTTAACATTAATTTCACAGTTTAAACTAACAGGGATGACTATTCAAACATTTATATTATTATATATATAAAACAAGGTCAGCTGTGTTGGTAAAATCAAGTAGATGTAAGCATTTTAAGATTGTTGTTCCATAATTAGTAGTCTGCAATTTTTAATCAGTTCATATTTACCATGTTTGTTTCCAGTCGTATTTCCAAAGCTGGAATACTTTTTTTTTCTTTTTTTTTTTTTTTTATTTCTTTTGAGCTTGCCAAAGGACAAAAGAAAATAGTGAAAACTCTTGCTAAATTCTAATTTATCTGGATTAAACTATCATGATTCATCTGTTGATTGTATTAATCCTTTAATCAGTTGCTTTGAATTTAACCTAATATTTTTGAGCAAATATTTTTCAAGGGAAGAGGAAGCTGAAAAGTTCTTTATCCACCCTGTTTCCCCAAATAATTATTCTAATCTTTGGTCATTACTGATTTTAAAAAGCAAATTGGAGAAAGAACTTTTCAGTACTGCTTCATAATACTATGCTCACTGCAGTCAGTCTCCCTGTACTAACAAATGAATCTATTTTAACAATCATGGGTAATTTAGGAGAGTCAAAAACAAGTTTCAATTGTCTTTTATATTTCACAAATTTTTTTCTAATTTTGTATACATAACTAAATTACAATCAGAAGACTTGGTATTTTTACTTATTCAATGATTCTGTTGAAGATGTTTTCATTGATTTTCAATTTACTAACATCAATGAACCTTGTCCCATTAATGCAAATATGTATCATGGAGCCACAGTGTTTATTTTCAGAAATTAGCATTTAACAGGGTTACATTAATTCTGATTATTCAAGCATCTTCCAGATTGGATGATTACCAATAAATTTCATATGTATCTGAAGTTGTAACAAAGTTAGGTGAAAATAAAGGTGCATTGCCTATAAGTCATAGATTTTTATATGAAATGCCAGTAGATAGATGAATCTGCTGCTTAAATGTTCACAGTTTTTTTTATTTGAAGAAAGTATCAAATCATTAATAATCTAATGAAGTAAATTTTTCAGGTGTGTGACAGTGAAATTAACCTGCTTTATTTTGAGCTACAGTAATGTGTGATGTAAAAGTTATTAGCTTGTTTGTTTGTTTTTATTTTTGTGGGGTGGAGCAAAATCAAAGTTTTATGAAAAAATAATTGTATTTATTTTCAAAAATACAAATTCAGTCTTTTTTCTTTTTTTTCTTTGAACATTTTTATTAAAAGTGTAAATAATTAAAATTAACTATTAGTTTTAGATTAGAACACAACCGATGTTTTTATATTTTTCTCATTAGACAGTATTTGGAATATTAGTTATTAGCAGGTGTTGTTGGCAGAAAACAACTATAAAAATGATTATTTTAGAAATGATCATACATGAAAAATTATTGAATTTTTTCAGATTTGTTAAATTTTATTTACTTTCTTTCATATAAAAATGTTAGTTGGCAACAACTTCATATGCAGGTATCTCAGACAGATCATTTTTTTATGTTTATATTAGTTTTAACCACAGGTTTTACATTTTTATTATTTATTATTATTTACAAAAAAAATGTAAAAATTAATTTTATAATTATTTTTGTAATTTTTATATTTGTGATCCATAACCTTTAATAATATCTAAAATATGCGACCATAGGATTTAGTTTTCTTCAGTTAGTGAGGAATATCTTCTTGTCATTGGTAATCTTACATTATGATCCAGAAACAAAGAACAAGGGTTTTGTCCTCCTCATCAAAGGAGAACAGCAACCCTCCTCCCCAGTTGTCCACACCAACAGAAGCCTTGGTGACAGGAGGATCCAATATACCAGCCATACCCACCACATCAGCTTCCAACAGCAACAAGTCTGATACCATTATCAACACCTCTTCTACCGTCGCCGCTGCAACCACCACCACCACCACTACCACTACCACCACATTGGATCTCACTTCCACACAGAAAGTACTTTCTTCTCCCTCCTCTACCACTGGTGTACTTTCCTCTCCTGCACACCCCTCATCACAGCCTTTACCGGCTACAACTGTCCCTTCCAATCAACCAGCAGCAGTGTCCCCATCTTCTTTGTCTGCATCTTCAGCACAAAAGGCTGATGGCTCCTCACCTGTACCTAGTACTACCCAACACTCCAATACACCCACTCCCATATCACTTTCTTCATCCGGCCAACTACCAAAGATACCTTCTGCTGCCATTGGTCCTATGATGAAATTAACAGATGATACGCCACCCACAGATAATCAACTCTTGGGTATAACTCGCCTCCAGGCAACACCAACTGATGCTAATAGCACCACCAATGACGGTAACAGCACAGCAGTGCCTCCTGCAGCAACCAACCAAAAAATGCCTTCTTCCACTTCAACGGGAACTACTTCTTCAGCAGGTGCTACACAAACCTCCTCTGGGGCCACCGCAGACAAACCTGTGGGTGAGAGCCCGTTGCAGGTGAGAAATACTAAAATAACCAAAATATATATACCTATATTAACAATATAAAATATTTGATGATAGTGGTGATTATGATGATGATAAAAGCATTTATCAATGTGTTGTATATAGATAGTTTTTATATTGTTTCTGTATTGTTTAATATAAGTATGTGTGTGGATGTACATAAAGCTATGACTTACCATTTTTCTTTTGTGTGTAAACTGATTTATTAAATCAAACTTTTTGAATATTGTTACAAAAGTAAAAAATATAAACTTTATTCTGTTGGTAGAACAATTTTTCAAGAATATATTTACCTTTCTTTTTTTTTTTTCCTCTCCAAAATTAATTTTACATTTTACCAAATTCATTCATAATTAACAAACTGATACCCTCTCTTATGTGAAAAATCAGTTTTCTTTGAATCTACAACGAACTCTATATAAAAAAAAAATTCCTAAATCAAATTTAAAAAAAACTTTTAGACTTTCAATTTTTTATAAAATTGAGTTACATTTTCCAAGCAATTTGTCGCATTATACTTTGCTTTTCCATCATTTTCATCTGCCATTTATTTATGCAAAAAAGTGATATTATGTATACATGTTCCATTCCTAAAATTTCAAACTTTACTCTCTCAAAAGAAATTCCCAAAACATTCCTTTTAACAAAACATTATGTAATCAATCAATTACAAAAGGTTTACAGCCATGTCATGTTGAGACACCAATTTTCATACAATCACCATCTAAACAATTTCAAGCCTGGTCAGTACCTAAATGGGTGACCGCTTGATGTGCTGTATGAATAATGGCTTGGAATTGGAAATCGGAGAGCCAACTTCCAATTCCAATTGGGTTTGCAATATTCCATTATGCACAAATACCCTTTGGAAAGGTATCCACCTCATCTCCTCCCAGCTATGGGTTAATTATTAGGACATGTATCGGTAAACCATTATCTCAAAAAAATCTTACAATGTAAAAATATTTTCTGGCTTTAAATAACCTGCAAAAGGTTGACAAGCTGTAAAAAAACCCAAAAAAACAAAGTAAATATATTTTCAAATCTGCTATAAGTTTTAATTTTTGTACTAGTAACATTAGATATTTTTATTTTATTTTTATCACCAAATGCTCTTTTGTTTCCATTTTTATAAATGGATCTCAAGTTTTCATATTTCATCAGATTCAGTTTAGATGCTGAGATTTTAAATTTGACTTTCAAATTGTTACTGTTAATTTTTGTAGAATGCTGATAACTTCAGTTCATGAAATCTATTATACATGTTGGACAAAATTAAATAAGATAGACTCATTGGTTTAAATGGATTTGTCTGTTCATGAAACTTTCAACATGTCTTTGATTTAACTGTTTTGCTTGCTTTTTTACTGTTTAGTGCCATTGTAAATAATACAGAGTTCAAAATCTTGTTTAACAGTCCCCATTTTGACATGTCCAAAGAACTTTTCCCATTGGCTCTATGAAATTGAACAGTAAAATAGATTTTTTAAAAATCCCATGAAAATTTTAATTCGCATTTTACTATTCAAACATTATCAGAAAGAAGATTTGTAAAAACAGCACATGAAAAGGCCAATTGAAATTTTATAATTTAAAGTCATATTTAAAGCAATTTTTCTATTACAATTTTCTTATGGTGGCTTTCAGAATTCTTTAACAGATGTTTAGCCAAGGATTGGCTATTTAAGAGTGTTTATGTAATTGTTTTCTGGCTTCAAAATTTTGTAAGCTCTCAGTTTATTTCTCATAGCCTGCAGTCTGTTATTTAGTAGGAATTTTTCTCACATTTTGGGTTGGCCAATTCTAAAATTAGACAAGTAATAAACTTTAATACAAAAACAAATGAATAACAAATGAAAATAATTCTTTTAAGAACCAAAAAAAATTTTCAGTTCTCCTTTTTTATTACTAAAAATTTTAAATTGAGCTTGGAAAAGTTGATAGAAAGAGAATTTGTTTGATTCTTTAATTTAAATTTCAAGTACAAGTTTAAATTATTTTAGCATTAATATCTATTGATTTTTATAGTTTTTATGTAATATTTCTAATTTTTATATATTTCTAAATGAACCAACTTGCTGAATTAGTCATTTTGTTTCATTATTTTGGGCTATTTGCTTTTCCCTTTGCACAAAGCATAATCAATGACAAATGCCATGTTTGTTTTTTAATTTCCTTTTATTTTTGCTTATTTTTCTCAAGAATTTTTTTTTTTTTAAAGAATTATTTTAGAAAAATGGGAAGTCATAATATTTCTTCAATCAGGTTTATCTGTTTAGGATTTTTCCTTCAAATATTTTTCCTTTTCTTTTTTTTTTTCTATTCATATTTTTAGTGTAGATTTTTATTTAATATTTCTTTAAAAAAATCACCAATTAAAACCTTTGTTGCCAAATTATTCACTATTCGTTTTTTACATATTTATTTTTAAGAGCCTGCACGTTTTGCAATTATAGATGGATATATGTAGAGGTGTGTGTGTGTGTGTGTGTGTGTATGTGTTTTCTATCTTCACTCTCACCAGTCATTGTTTTAACATGCTTATATCATCATCATTCATGCTCCCATCATAAATCACCTTCACAGTTGATATCACTGTTAGCTTGCCTATACACCTGCTGCTATTGTAGGGCTCTGCAAGTAACAATAACAATGATTAAAATAATAAGTCTCTATTTATTCCTCACCCTAATTGCTTAATTGCTTGCACTTGTAACAACACTGCAATTCTTATATCTCCTGGCAGTTTTTTTCCAGCTGCCTTTTAATTTTAATCATTCTATTCTTGTATGTATGTATTTATTATATATTCACATAACTTTTCATTTGCTGTAACATGTCATTTTGTAATAGATTTTTTTTTTTTTTTTTTAAACATTTTTCTATCATTTCTCTGTTGGGTAGTGATCTACTCATTTAATTTTTGGTATTCTTTTTTTAATATGAAAATGTTCTTATTTTTTGCACTTTTTAATTTTTTTTAATTGGATTTCACATAATGTATATATAATCACAATTGTCATAATCTTGAACATTTCTTGAATATGAAATTCTTACTACAGCTGGTGACTTGTGAAAATATTAACATTATATTCAAAGATAAGAAGTGAAATTATATTTTTTCATGTTTAGGGAGAATTTCCCAAAAGTTACACTACTAAAAGAAAAATACTTATTTTCTTGAGCATATTATATTTATTCTCAATTAACACTTTCTTTTTAAAATTAACATTTTGTAACTTTTTATTAATTCAAACTAGTTGTACCTGAAGATAATTATGATCTTTAGATTACACTTGAGATTGTTTATATGATCTTGAGGCTTTTTTGTCATTTTGATCCCTGTGTTGCAGTTTCATAAAACAACAGCATAAGACTGTTTTGTCATAAAAGCAATACTAGTTTACTCTAGTGCACTACCAGATAAGTGTTAGTCACAAAAAACAAACATAATGTAACAAGAGAATGGTAATAACTACTTTATCCAACTATTGATTTTTCAAACATTCACTAACATAAGAAAAATTAAATTACTGCTTGTATCAAATTTGTATAAGATTACAAAAATTCTATTACATAAACAGTTTAATAACAGTAGATGACATTGTGCCTAAATTTTTTTTCTATTCTCATAGAATATATATATATATATATATATATATATATATGTGTGTGTGTGGTATATAAAAATTAACTATACTCTGAATTCCAGAAATTTAAAGTTAGAATATTCATAAAGACTTAAAATTATGCACACACAATTTATAACAGTGGGCTAGTAATTATACACTACTGAATCAATCTCATAGTTGACACAAGAAAATTTCAAATAAATTACAAAATCCCACTGTTAAAATATTCTTTGTTGTAAAATTCTGTGAAACTTGATACTGTGTTTTTAAATTAATTTCTAATAAAGCAAAGTTAATTCATTTAGTTCCACAATTTGAAATTGTTACAAAAATTTAATGTGGATGTAGTTTGCTGTGAGTTTTTGGTTTGATAATTTTTTATGTTAATTCTTTTGATTATAGTGGTACCACTAGATATAATCAGAAATTAAAATCTTTAAAACACACTCAGGTGTGATTAGTTATATTTTGATTATTTTCTATCTCTGACAAAAAGCCTTCGAATAAATAATTAAAAAAAAAATTACAGTGAAGATAGCTGACCTTTTTGATTAACACAAGTCACTGGTCCTATTTTTTGGTTTACCTAAAACCTTATACGACTAAAAAGTTTAATATAACTGTCTTGAAAACTGACTTGAAATCCAATAACTGTTTTTCTGATATTGTCTTTTCTTGATGCTACATTCCTATCTTTAATTGCATTCAATACTCAAAATCACAATGGAAATGCTATGTAACTCTCAAAACTTAATGAAGTGAATCTTTGAAACAGATTTTTAACGACAAATTTAGATATTGTACATTTTAGAAATGTAAAACTTGATTAAGTAGGAAGAGTAAAATATGAATAAAATATAAAAGGGTAATTCTTATTAAAATTTAAATTACTTTTTAATGCCATCATTAAAAAATGCATCTTCATTAAACATTTAGTTTCTATTGAAATTGTCATATAACTAAAAGATATGAGTAGGCATCAAGAAACGATTTCTTGTCTGTGTTGTTTTTCATTTACATAACATTGTTTTTAATCCAATTACCTCTTGATACTTTCAATGTCTTACCTGTTATAATTTGAGGTATCATTATTCTTATGCTGTCTAGAATATTTTTTTAATATTTGAAGTTAGCACTCATTCATGAGTAAATTTTTCAAATTGATAATGATGCTTTGGTAATTACATTTATCATATTAAAAATAACTGAATATGAACATTTATACTTTCTCCACAAGTTTACTGTAGTCATTAAAAAGACATCTTTATTTGTAACAAAAGTTTTATTTTTTATGTATCTTTAAAAAAAAAACTATTATTGTTCAGATAAATGACTTGTATGACTATCTTGCTTGAAGATTACATTTGTCGTAATATTTCAACTTAAACACATTTGCATAGTCACTATTAGGCTTTTTTTAATCACTTCAGATACAATTTTGGCAACCACACAATGTTAGTATATCAATTATAAATGTTAAAAAAAGCAAATTTTTCAACAATTGGGAACTAAAATTGTAATATGCTGAATGTGTTTTAATTTAGTCAAGATTAACCCTTTAGCATTCGACCAACCTTGTAAATATTGGCTCTTAAATGTTCAACCCACCGTAATCTGCATCCATGTTTACTATGGCATAATGTACTGACATCATCACAAATAATGCAAGAAGTCATACAAACAGAATGTGTGTTGAATGCTGAAGAGTTAAACATACAGGTAATATAGCTAAATTACAGTAAATGATCACATATACAGACCAATATGTGCACAGTTTCCAAAATAAGGAATGTATCAATAGTTCTCAGACTCCTTATTAATACACTGTATATAACCTTGGATGTCCATCTACCTCTGTTGCCTTTCTATATTGATCTTGATGAGCATCTGTACTATGTGGCTATCCAGTACCTGGTCTACAGATGTGGAAAATATTCATTTGATTATTCTTGCCAAAATCAAAGCACTGCCACCATGTTACTTCCGATATATACAGTAATTCTCTGAAATGACCATCCAGCTGTTCTAATTGAGCAAAAAGAGTATCTAAATGACATGACACCTGTTTGAACCATTCAGCAGTATGTGTCATCACTTAAAGCTCGGACATAGATGGTATAATGTTACCAGATCACAGACAATATCAGAATATCTACTATACCTCATATTACTGTACCCAGGTCAAAATTGGCATCATTTTTCAAGATGTTGCAGTTTTATTTTTCATTAATGTAACAAGACTAGCAATTAATATAACTATTTATAACAATGTGTTAAGCCATCCTTTTTTGACAATCTGTCTTTTTAATGTCTATTTCAAAATCTTATCAGATATTTTTAATGCCTATCAACTTGCCTTAGAATTCAATGCTAAGGGAGTGTTCACATTCGATTTGCTAGGGATATGCCTCATACATCTTAAGAAAAAATTATTTGTGGTATGCATGATTTAAAAATTTGCTTTTTATTAGTGATGGAATGATACAATATTTTTACCAATTCCAATACAATTCCCGATACTGTCCAAAATTTCCAATTCTGATACGATTCCGATACCTACAATGATTAAAATTCATTACTTTCAGGCACTACAGTTGTTATGAGAAACTTAATGAACAAAGTACATTTATTGATAAAACATTTTAGTAGGAAAATGAATACAAAAGCTTATGAAATAAAGTTAAATATCCTTTTTATTTAAAAAATTGGTTAAGGGTTTAAACTATAAAGAGAACAATTTCTTTAAGTAAATCACTTACCTAGCTACTCATATTTAAGTCCTAAAATTCTTATAATGTAAGAACATTATCATCTCTCCTGTTTTGCCTTTCAGTCGATTTCTTTTTGGTTAGTGTTACCTCCAATACTAAATAACCATTCACTTTCAACAAAAGAGGGAGGTGCTGATCAATATTTCCTGGCTAAAAGCGCCATGATGAAAAATTTCTTTTTATTTGAAATCCACCACTGAAAAACAGGATTGTTTTTTATATTTTTAATGCAATATACAGGGTGATTGAAAAGTAACTCCCTATTTTATGTAATTCTTGCCAAAGGGAACGTAAATGCCTACCACCACCCTTATACCAAACCCTTTGGATTAAGTGCTGATTGAAACTCCTTTATATGGAATTTTATTTTTAATTTCTACTTAAGAATAATTGAAAATTTAAATTTTAAAATAAAATTTTATATATGATTCTAATTTTTTTTTTCTAGTTTTTTAAATGCAGACAATGCTTTTTTATTTTTTTATAAATTAAAAAATTGTCTTAAAATTCATTTTTTGTTTATAGTACATAATTTTGATTATAATTATTAAATTAATAATTTATAATATTAAATGGGTGAATTAAAAAGAAATTAAAGATAAAATCTAAACTAGCAAACTTTATGGAAAGTTTGATACCTGATTACAAACTTGCACTTTTTTTTTCTCTTTTTTTTTTACACAAGTAATCAATAGATTTCAGTTTTACTAGTAGTTTAAAATCAATAAATATTTATATCTTTTTATCATTAGTACCAGCAATGCAAAATTAAGATTTAAAACAAAACAAAAAAAGAATCAAAAAAATCATTTTGGAATTGGAAATTAGGTTAAAAATTCTCCATTTCCCATTATGATACCCCTAAAAGATACAATATTTCCATTTCTCAATTCCAATTAATCATGCCATCACTACTTTTCATCCTGGGGAATTAAGAAATTTAAGCATTTTAAAAGTTTACTTATTATCTGTGCAACAATAACAAACAATATTATGTTAGTTGAGTGATTTATTCCTCAAAATTTGGATATAATGATACCTCATTTCAAAAACATAAAAAATGGCAGCAAATGGTTTTATTTAATCATCTATTGTGTTTCCTTGCATTTTTTTAATACTGTAAATTTGTGTGTATGGATGTATATATGCTTACATGTATGTATGTACCAATGAGACAACATGTATATATATGTATGTGTGTGTGTGTGTGTGTATATATATATATATATATATATATATATATATATATAAGACCTACAACATACGATGATTAAGCATTATATTTAATTTCTTGTGTTCGAACAAATGTTTTCTTTTTTTGGCCACAGTGTGTGTAGAATCTGTCCAGATGTTCTATAATTCTGAGCACTTTCAGCCATTATCAAGGATGATTTTATTTTTGCTTTTTAAATAGGTATATGGATTGTGCATATGTTTTTAGACTGAGATGTTTTATTTTCTGAATTGTGGCTGTGTTCATAGTTAATATTACTAAGTGTTGGCTTTAATGTATGAATGAAGGTGAATGAAGGATTGCTGTGTGTATGTATATATATATACACACACACACACACGTGAATATATGATAGCTGGACTCTTGTATTGCAGACACTTGTTCAGGTACATTTATGCTTATTCACCACCCACAGAGCCCACCTGTGGTTTATACTGCAACTATGCTGAGCAGATCTTAGTTACAGTTTTTGGAAGAGAGTGTGTTATCTAGTGTGATCAACAATTTGAATAAGGCCAGCATGCTCAAGCCCAAAGCCACGATGACTTGTGGCTTTGTGCCAGCACAGCCATCAACGGCTCTCAAAAGTTCCATCTACCCAATTTTACTAACAAGGCTTGGATCAAACCATAGTATGGTTTTCAGGTACTTTCAAAAGTTGCGTCACGATGGGATTGACCTCGATCCAGTCCAATATCATCAGGAAGTCTCCTTCCTGACAAATTGACACTGGTGAGATTTGAACCCGGGTCTCATGGTCAAAAAGCAAACATTCTAACCACTCAGCAACACGCCCATGACAAGTCACCTTCTGGATCAGGCATGAGAGAAGTGTGAGAAGCTAGGATGATTAGGCAGTGATCATCTGTGAAGATGCAGCGGATCATCCTCACACACATATATATATATATTTTTAAATGTGTGTGTATATATATATAAATATAGAAGTGAACATTGAAGTCAAAACAGAGGCAACAATCTGTTTCATGTTAAACGCAATCATCAGGCCACCTGATATGTGTGTGTGTTTTTAAATGTGTGTATATATACTATAGATATTTATACATGTTTATGTGCATGTGTGTATACATGTTTATGTGCATGTGTCTATATATGTTTGTGTGTGTATTTATATAATATTTATGTATAACTATTGATTATATAAATATCAATCAATTACTGTATATATATATATATATATATATATATATATATATATATATATACAAACAATTATATTTGTGTGTATAGATGTATATTTGCATTTATATATATATATCTCTCTCTATCTATCTATATATATATATATATATATATATATATATATATAGTGAATGCCTAGAAACTTTTTTTTTCTTTTTTTTTTTTTTTTTTTTAACCTTTCTGATCATTTTGTCACCTTTGTTGCTACAGAAAACTGGCGGGTCTCCTATAGGATTGGTATTACGTTTAAGGTAATGTAAAATTGATATTGTTTTCAGCTCACTGCTTAAAAACAGCTGGAAATTTTGTTTTTTATTTTGTTTGTTTCAATATAAAGGTTATTATCATGACCTATACCTATCTTCAGTTTTTGTTTTTGTTGGCACTACAGGGGACAATAAATATAATACTTTGTCTCTTTTCTGTGCTTATATGAATACATAATGAATGTTGTCTTTTTCTAGGATTAATTTTATTTTTTTTAAATTAGTGGCTAATGTTGAGCTTTTTTTTTAAGTTTAATGTGCTTTGTTTCTTTGATCAATCCATTTATCTCTAAAGCATATTTAAAATAATCTTGAAATATTATGTGTATGTATGATCTTGAAATTAACTCCTTCCCTTTAGATAAATAGCCAATTATATAAATATCATAATGATATTTGCATAAATTAAAACTAACTTAATATTGTATGAATTTTATATAAAAACTTTTTTGAAAGGATTGCTTTTATTTTAATCATTTTTAAATATGTAATTGTAATATTTTTTGTTTCTTTTAATGTACTTTTATTCTCATAAAACCTGACAATGCCTACCATTACCTGTTTATATCTATAACAATATTTTAATATCTGAAATTTGCAAAGGACCAAAATTTATTATTTTAATCCTTGAGCTGAATTGTTTTCTCTAATGCAAACAGGACTAATTCTAAAAAAATATCATAGTATTACTGGTCATGATTTTAGCTATTGCCAAATAATTAATATCTGGGAAAAATGGAGAACTGGAGGCTGTCCACTTGCAAGACAGAATATGTAGCTTTAGGATCTGTAACATAATTACTGAAACGTATGATGAATTATTTGTTCAACCATCATAATGCATTGTGACAATTAGGATACTTTACTCTTGCATAAAATCTTTGTACAGAATCAAGGATCAAACCATAAAATACGACTACATTAGGTATAAAATACAGAAAGGTGTTATTCAACTTGTATATATTCCATCTGAACAAAATGTAGCAAAGATATTCAGTAAACCTGTTAAGCTGAAAAAGATTATCAGTTCTTTATATGAATTCATCCCAGATGTAAATTTGTATGTTTTAGATTTAAATTGAGTAAATAAGAGTATTGTAATATAAACATGTGATTGTATGTAATAGATTTCACATGGATCTCAAAATTAAACATAATAATATGTATGCAAATTTGTGTATAAGAATCTAGCCTCTATGTTGAAAATATATAATATATTTGTAAGGCTTGTTATATACAGGACTACCTCTGAACCCACCGACTGATGGGTGGAAAGTAAGCTTGATTAGGAGCCCTGGGCAATACTTTGTGACCCTCGGTATCTTATCAACATTCACTTTTCTCTACCTTCACACATATATTACAAATTAAACTAAGCACAACTGATTATTAAAGGATGAAAAATTTTCAGATTTTGATGTCATTCTGGATTCTTATATTTTTTTTTATTTTTTTTTTCCTTATCCAAATCCATGAATATGTTTTGTTCATGCTAAGTCTCAAAAAATAAAATGCTATATAAAATTCACCACTTTTTATCCATAATGTTGAATGTGCTAAAATTATTCAACTTTTAACAAGAAAAATCTCAGGTTGATGTAAAACTTGCCATAAAATATTGTTGATTTAAAATGGAATATTCTATTATGACATGTCTCTAATTTGTATTTAGATACATTGTATTTATTTTCAATTTTTTCTAGTTGAATTGTTCACCTGTATTGCATATGATCCATTATTGTACATAATTAGGTTACAATAAAATTTGCATTTTATATTAATATACTACCTTATGTAGTAGAGTGAGGGGGTGATCATAGATTGGTGGAGGTAGGGACACACAACCCTTACACCAGGCCTGATTTTATATATATATATATATATATATATATATATATATATATATAAAAAACAAAAGCTTACTAAAATGTTCACTGGCATTAATTTGCTATACTGCTATAAACATGAATGTTATCGCTAACAAAACTGGATACTTCTGTGGATAATATTGGTGTTTCTTTATTCTGTAAAGTCTAACAAAATCTGTTTGGCTCCAACATTTGTTTTAATAATTTTCTTAAACTGATTTTTCTTTCATAGAAATTGCAGATACACACACACACACACAGACACCTTTTTCAGAAAAAGATTAGAAAGGAATACAATTTCCCAGAAGTTTGAAAATACAATTAAATGATGAATAATAAATGTTATCAGAAAAGAGCATAAGTTACTAACATTAAGTAGAAAATTCTAACAAATTTAATATCCAAATAATTTACCTGCAAAGCTGCATCACTATTTGGTAAATATGCTGTGTCTATGAATTTTTTTATATTTCATGTATTTTTATATTCATAATTACAACCATTCTGTATTAATTGCTCTTATTTTCTAGGAATGAAAAAAGGGTATTAAATGATATAAAGTTTGATTTTACACCTGGACAAGGTAAATTTACCAATACTTCCTAGTCTTCCTTATTTAGTAAAAATTTTGTTTACAATCAAGTGTATTTTCAGTTAATTTACTTAAAAAAAATAAAAATAAAAAAGATCACTATTACTTAGTTTAAACATTTAACAACTCGCTTTTTTGGTATAACAATTTTGAATAGTAACAAAGGTATCACTAAAAACAAGAGTCCTTAAACAGTGTAAATTTTATACAAGTAATAATTATGTTTGAATTAATTTTCAAAAATTACATTTAAAGAACAATTTTCTAAAAATAAGTTTTTCCTTCTCAAAGTTTCCACTTTGTAGCAAATGATAACCATTCCTGGTTATTTTTTTTTAAATTATTAGCAATATTAATTCAGTAATTTATATTTAATTTAGAATAGAATTATCAAATAAGTTTTTATAATAAATGATTTGGAATGTATGAAGCATTATTTTCTTTTGCAGATACCTCCGATAGTGTCTCTCGAGAACTTGTGGAAGCTGGTCTTGTAGATGGAAGGGATTTGATAGTTGGTAAATAGGGTTCTTTTTTCTTTATTGCATTTACAGATAAATACAAACTTTATCCTGTCAATGATTTTAAGTTTAGTATATTAATCACATTAAACATCATATTTGAATCTGTTACAAGTATTTAGTTAACATTTTCCAAACTGTTTATTCTTTAAGCATTGTTTATCTATATTTCTATATTGTTACTGAATTTATTAATTGTTGCATTGTGTTGTCCTATGACATGGGATCAGTAGTCAACTTCTTCCCTATCTCTTAGTTTACACGTTATATCTCTTCTACTTAACATATACAAATAGTTCAATCCTATTTACCAATCTACTACATTAACTTCTGTATGATGTCTTCTAATTGCAAATGTTGTTGAGTCATATTATATCTTGTTCTTTTCTTTATTTTAGTTGCAGCTAATTTACAGAAGGTATTGGACAATCCAGTTGAAAATAAGAACATTACTTTTGCTTTGGTGAGTTTATTTAGAAATTCTGTTCATTATTAACACAAGCATAATTTTTTTTGGTTGTTTATTTCTTAGAAATATGGTCTAAAAGATATTTTCATTTAAAATTTTAAAATCTTAAGATTTCTGAATGGTATGACTGACATATCATACAGTCTAGAATTAGGCTAAGTTTTCATGAGGCCAAGTACATTACTTTATTGATGGATACACATTAATATTTCTACAGTGAACCATATAAATATTGACATTGGGTGTGATAAATAAAAACTATTTCTATAATATTATTCTACCTGTTTTTCTTGCATTTGAATGTTACCTTGTCAATAATAACAAGGGAAAATAAGTGAACTCTACTGGGATTTGAACTGCTGACCTGTGGTAAGTATGCAAATGATATATTCATTAGACCAGCATTCAGCTGCTTAAATATACACTGAATTTATCTTAGAAATATAAGAATAACTTCTTTTTTTTCATTTTTAATTATTTGAATTAGTCACTATAATAAAAGTTTAAACACAATCTTAAATTTAGTTTTCACTTTTCTATTTTTTTTTTTTATGAATTTAATACCTATATTTTTCAAATCATATTTATGTAACTAATTCAAAATGTTTTGAAATTTCCAAGATAACTTTACAATATATTTAAGTGGTAAAATGGTAGCTTGATGTCATTTGCTTGCCTCTTTGCAGCTCAAAGGTTCAATTACCATTAAATTTCAATATTTCAAGCTAGTAAATAATATCATAGTTTATTTGTATTGTAATAAAGTGGTAAATGAAGATGGATTATAAAATTACTAGTGTATTAAGTGAAACATTGTCATGCAACTTATCCTCAGAAGTATTTTGCAGATCAATAAAAAAATTAGTCAACAACGTAAGTATGGCTAGTAGGAGCAATGGGACTGAGTAGATTAAGTATGAATGACATCTAGTCAAGGAGGAACTATGACATACAGATGACTACCATGGAAAAACTTGTAGTTTTCAGAATTTGGGATAAGAGATTATTCTTAGATGATATAAATGTATTGATATAAATATATATTTTTTTACTAGAAATATTGATTCATAAATTTATATATTCTATTACTTTTATGTTTATTTGTAATTATCATTGATTACCAGGAAGTAAGCTTTCATAACTTAAAGAAACCAAAACTGTCTATGGTTCACTCTATACAAAAATTTATCCATATTTTTATCTATTTTGATTTGACAGAATTCTGGATTTGGACCGAATGAAGCTCCTGATGACAAAACTTTGATTGGCTTTGCTCAGCTGACAATAAATGAAAGTACCAACACCAATCTCTAACCCTGGCTCCTTGTCTAGAAACTCTGTGATAAGATGATTAAGTTTCAAAAAAGAAAAATACAGCAGCAAGCAGTCTTTAGTGAGACTAGTTATGGGTTTGACCACAACTCCCTTAATCCTTGACCATTGGCAACAATAGCTCATGACAGTACCAAGAGTGCTATGAGCAGAAGTGGTAATAGCATTGATCAGTGTCATGTCCATCACCTATAATCAGTGGTGATATTAGTAGTGTGGCTGCCCTATAAATGCAAAAACATATTAAAAACATAGGAAAAAAAAGCACATGAACTGGGGCTTTACAAATAAACCACAAATTAATATGTATTAAGAAAGCAAACTTCGGAAGAAAAACAGACTTTTTTCTTCTCTCTTTTATTTTATTTTTATTTTTTTTTTAAGAAAAATGAAAAATACAAAAAAATACATAACAAAAACCTCCACTGCAATAGGAGAGATTATGTGTACTCTCTTTTCTCTTTACCTCCTTTCCCATATTGCTTCTGAAAAGATTATATATCTATATAACCTTAGCTACACACACAGCTATATAAATGAATAGTACACTTTTCCATTAAACTGCTTGAAATGCACACTAACAAAGTAAAACTGTTTTACCTAATCTTAACCTATCACTGAAATGCAGGAATTGTTAAGAAGCATTAAGAGAAAATAGTCCCTTGCTATCATCAGTTTTAGTAACAAATATAGGTAGAGCTGATAGAAAGGAAACGTCTCCTCTCCCACCACCTCCACCCATACACATCATAATCCTTCAACTATGTAATCCTGATATCAATGCAATTTTAAATATATTTTTTAAGTATATTGTAATTCTCTCTATAAATATTGTAAACTTTCATCAACTTCTCTTTCAAGTTAAATTTATTTTCTTCTAAAATATTTATTAGGTGTTTGCCAAAGTTGTCAATGCACTTTATTGAAAACTAGGCTGAATACATTTGAGAACTAGTTTATTGCAGGAAACATTTGCACACACCTAATATCTTCAATATATAGAATAAATTTGTATATTAAAAATGTTGCTGCTAAAACATTTCAAAGAATTGACAGATTTGCTATATTTTTAGACTAAGGACAATGCAGTTAGAATATTTAGGACTTTTTTCCATTAAGAATTATTGTATAATTAATTCTAATTAATTCTCTTTGTTGTTGATTGACTATCTGCTTTGAATTCCCAGTAGTACTCTGTTTCAATCAACCAATTTTATATAAACTTATTTCTAACTGAACAATTTAATCTCCACCATTTTTTTAAAAATAATTTTGTATTAGTTTTTTTTTTTTTCTATATATTTAATAATAATTTTGATAGTTTTCAATTCTCTTCAAAACAAAAAGTTTCTCAAAAGGCAGTTCCTCTCAATCAACCATTTACAATATATCAACAAGCTATAAGCTGGGATCAAATTCTTGCAAATGTATCTTGAAAGAAGCAATAGTTCTCTTTTCATAAGTAGTGCAGTGAAAGGAGAAATGTTTCCAGAAACCAAAATTCTATGTAAAAGATTTTTGTTATTTATATCATATTTCTTTTACATAGAATAAATATCAATATCTATGTAAATGGAATTACCTTGCTCTAAAAAATCTGTTCATGGTTTCAATCAAAGAGGTAAATGATTGAAGGAATTGCATCTAATACTGTTAAAATTTTACAGCTTTAGTAGATAAATATGTCAACTTAAAAAAAAAATCCTTGTTTTAATTAAACTATATTACAGTACACATGCAATTTTGTTGATGTATATACAAGTTGGTTTAGCAGTCAGTTTTATAATATGCAATTATATACAATATATTTATAATAATTTAATTTTTTACTTTCACAGCATTTATATTTAAATAATATTGATACATAGACTGACCAGTAACTTTTGTGATTCCACTGAATTTTTGGCTTGATTTGTCTTACACACTTTTCACCTGGGTGGAAAAAAGGATGTTTATTTGATTTTCATTTGTTCTTTGCACTTCACACTTTATTTCCTTTTACCCCCTCCCCCACAAAATGGTCATTAGCCTGTTTTTTGTTTTTAAATCATGAACTTACAAAGTGTATTTTTACTGTTTTACATTAGATGCCAGCTGGCAACATTTGAGATCTTATTTCTAAAATTTTAATTAATTTTTTTATTTCCCCAAATCTATGCCTGAACCTCTCATGTTTTACTTTTCTTTTCTTTTCTTTTTTAATTGTCATATAGTATTAAGTGTACTGTAATCCAGTAGCTCTGAAATTTAAAACCAATCATAAAATAAAATAAATTTTTTTCTTTTTTTTTTTTTTTTTATTTAGAAATCTGAAAAATTGTAACTCTGCCTAAATCTCCATAGACATATATAATTTATCATTATTACAAATTATTAGTGTCTAAAAAACCTTTTAGTTTATCTTGAAATATAAATAAATGCATACTCTTGAAGAAATCAGTAGACATCTTACAACATGACTTCAATATCTTTATATGTATAGAAAAATTTAAATTAGCAGGTATTTGTGCATACACAACCCTTTAATAATTCAAATGATCATAATTTTAAGCAATTCTAGTAAAAATGATTAAAACTTAAGTCATTATGAAAAAATTTAATTTCATAATATTAACTCTCATATTTGCTAAAGATAAGATTTACAATTTAAAATACTAATAGCTCTTTCCTAAAAGTTTGATATTTCTTCATCCATTTGACAAGAAGCACAAAAAGGAGTTATTTTCTTTCAGTCTAATTGTTTCAAACTCTTTACATGTAATGCATTCACTAAAGATTTGAGTAGATGTTAATAAAAACTGTAAACTGACACTTTGATAGCTTTGGAGTCAATTTAGCTTATTTACTCTGTATGTATTATAAAAAAAAAAACAAAAGTGTGTTGTGTGAATGTTATATATATATATATATATATAACCGCTAACATTTTTTTTCAAAGATAATATTCTAATAATAAAACTAAATTAACTCAATTAACAATTTATTGTTTATAAAGAAAATGAAAGGTAAATTTCTCTTTTCTACTCTTTAAGTACATAGAATGTCTTTCTATTTCCTTTAAGCCAATTCAACCATTTTGTTTGGTCTGCTGGCCTTTTCTCTATCTTGCTGATTTATGCTTAACTGGTGATTATCAAAATCAGCTACAAGATGGACAAGATAAATTTATTACACTCCTCCAAGACAGACATTAATAAAGTGAAAATGATTCACTACAGATGGTTCTAATTTATCTCTGGCCTATTGAGTAATCTCTATATCGAATTGAGAGCATTCGGGCAAATATTTTCATGCTTCAGATGATCTGCCTACTTTTAGTTTGGTTATTGCTATTATTATGATGCTTTATTCTGCATTACATTTCTAGATAAATAGGCTTCTGGGAAAAACTGAAGCTAATTTATACTGGCATCCAATAAGAGATGATAATCAGGTATAGGTAACTTTAAGGCATCTCTGAAAATACAAACCTGTATATTGCTTTGCATACTGAATGTCTCTTCAGATGCACATATTCTGAAACAATTAGGTTTTAATAAAATGTTACCCTAGTTTAACTTTGCCAAATATTATAATACCTAGAATAAAATCAAGTCTCTTTGCTTTAGTTACATCCTCTTATTTGTTTTGATTTTATATTTATTCTTTAAGTTTCTTACCTATCGACACATTCTTATCATTCATGAAATTCCAGATTAGAATTTCTAACTTTATATATATATATATATATATATATATATTGCAAAGTTGAATACCTAAAAAAAAAAAAAAAACTTTACCAACTTCAACTTGTCCTTTTCATATCTTTCAATTCATTTTTTTCTCATTAACTCCCAATAAAATTCTTGGAACTTGTTACCAACATAACTGTTTTGCCTTTGAATTCTGTAGCCTACTTTTTCTTTAGTCTTCTTTCCAATTTCTTTGTATGATTGCTAAACTTTTTCAGTCTACATACAAAAAAGAAAAATAACTTATTTCAATACCCAGGCTTCACATCTTCATTCCTTCTTAGAAATGATATATTGTCTGCTTCTATGAGCTTCTAATTCTATCTACAGTCATATATACTTATTAAAATTCTTAGTATCAGGCAAAAATGTACAAAAATTTATTCTGTCTTACCCAACCCTATCTCTTAACTCCCATGATTCCTTTCCTTTTTATATATTGGATGGAAATAGGTATATTTATTGCTTTATAAGCCTTTAACACTGGCAACTAACCATCTTGCTTTAAATCTGCTATAGATGTTGTTTCAGCTCAGTCTTGGAAGACTAGAGGAAACTCTGGGCCCCACTTTATCCTTCTATTTTTTTTTTTTTTTTTTTTTTTTTTTTTTTAGCCCTTTTGTCTTTTAAACCCCTGCTAACTTTGATAAATACAAGTATCCAAATCAATAACCTAAGATATTCACTTACATGCACCAGTACATGTGCTTGGGCTCTGCTGGGCTGCAGTCAAGACTTCTTTCTTAATGCTGTCTGATACTGAATCCTGTGAAAATTCTAGTTCTGTTCCAATTGCAACATTTTAACTGTACCGAGGAAAAATGTGGGGGAGGGGGGAAAGGGATATAAGAAAGAGAGAATGAAGAAGGAAAAATAAGATAAATTTGTAAAATAAAAAAAAGGAAAAGATCTCAAAAGCCAAATTGAAATCTGAAAGTAAAAATTCCTTTGAAAATTGATTTTTGTTTGTGTTTCTTTTTAATTTTAACAGTGTTGCATACAAAATGGCTATCTTTATTTATATTATTTTCAGAATATTGTTTGTAAAGGTAATCCCCCACCTCCAATAATTACTCAGTGCAAGCAAAAACAATACAAACATTAAATATAATTTTTATTTTTATTACAGTTTGATTGTCCGTTTAAATGCAATTGCTTTAACATACGACTTTGAAGTTTTAAAAATTAACTCTTGCCATTTTTTTATTCAGTCTGTACAGAATGTGTAAAAAAAAAAAAAAATGCTGATAAAAAAATTTTACATTTAGAATTCCTTTTGACTAAATTTTGTTGATTAGCATTCATTAAACCTTCCTCTATCCATAACATTAGTCAGAATAAAGTTTTTTTTTGTTTTTTTTATCTTTACCTTGTTTTTATTTACAAATATGAAATTTAAAACTCATTGATAACTGCATACTACTGATGTACTTTTTTCCAATTTAAGATTTTCCTCATAATCTGTTTTGCAAAAATTTATTTTCATGCACAAACAAAAGGAGATAAGTTATCTATCTTAAATGCCAAACTGTACCAACACCACCAAGATAGTGTTGACTGTACTTTAACTTTTAACTTTTTTAACCTTTAACTTTTATAACTTTAAAAGATTTTTATTAAATTGTTTTTTTTAAATAATTTTATTCCTGATGCACAAACAATTGCTAGTTGTAAATATTTTCTTAAAATAAATCTCATAAAAATATCTATATCCATTTGTTCTTGCAAGAATTAAAAAAAAATGCATTTGTCCATGTTTTCCTATTTAGACAAATTCATCTGGCTCATACAACATAGCATTATCTTCAATATTTTGGATCATATTGCTGAACTGTAACATTCACCCTACCTTTTATAACTTTCAATACACATAAATTCTTTTAAAATTTAAAAAAAAATGAATGCTATGGTGAAACATTCATTAAGAATTGGAGGAAGAAGATGCAAGGATTCATTTTAAAGATGAATATTTATTATCTCCCTTTGTAAAAGTGCTTCCATAATAAATCCAAAGGAAAATATATAAATGTTTCACAAAAACTTGAATTTATTTAAAAGTATCAGCAGTACATAGTTATCAATGATGTGGGCACATTCAAATTTGACATTTGTAAATGAAATTGGGTAAGAAAAATAAAGAAAGAAAAATAAATCAGGAATTTGAATTTATATTATGAACAAGACCTCCCTTTCAAAAATTATAATTACTAACCTTTTTTTTTCTTTTTAACAGTTCTTTTGTTAAGAGAAAGGTCTGTGTATGTACACTGGCCAGAGTTCACTCTCAAAAAAATGTAACTTAAAACATTTTGTTTTTAAAGTTAAAACCTTTTGTTTTTGTCAGATGGTTGGTGACTAAACTGGTTCCACCACCTTAATATATTGGGTACATGGTTTGGTGGTTAGGTTTTTTTTTTGTTTTTTTTGACAAGGTTACTATCAAAAGGTGAAAGAACTCTTGATAAGTTAATAGCCAACTAGTTAGTGTATCAATAAAATCAACTCCACTATCAATCCCAAGAAAAATCAAGGCACACACTATAAATATAAAAGATAATGGCATGATAGAAGACAATAGGCTCCTTAGAACTGAACTATTCAGTCTGTTTACTAAAGTTTGGATAATGTTTTAACAGAAGAAGGAAAATGTGACACTGACATAAGAAGGCACATTTGAAAAGGCAAAATATGCTTTCCAAAACCTCAGGTAAGTATTAAGAAACAGGAAAATGTCATTAGAAACAAAGGAAAGAGTGCTGAGCCACTATGAAATATCAATCTTCCAATATCACAGATGAAGAGGCAACTTGAGGTAACAGATGTGGTTCTACAGAAGGATGCTGAGAATACCATGGACAGACAATGTAAGTAACAAGGAAGTTTTAATGGAAACAAAAGGGACAGTTGAAATTTATAGGCTTATATATTGAGGAAATTAGAAATTTTGACACTCACAGGACATTAAAAGAAAGAGTGACTAACCTACTTAATGAGCTTGTGTAAATGGATAGCAAAACAGGGAATGGGAAAGATAATAAAAAGATAAATATTGCTAAGAGTTACAAAGCATAGGAAGTTGTGGAGAGCTATGATCACCCAGCTAGAAGAGGAAAATAATATATAATGTTCTAAAAGTGGTATGTGTTATATCTGTTAAATTTGACAAATGTATTTTACTTAATCATCATCATCATTATTATTTCTGGAATATTTACAGCTGAACTATAATAGCCTCATCTTTGTTATCACAATGTTTCAGCCATTGTGTCCTCTGACCTTCTTCAGGGAATTTTGAACTGAACTTTATGAATTTAAGCTTAATACAAGATTGACACCAAGGTCTCATTATCTTATGGTTGCATCTAGCCATTTCAACTGTATGTTCTATGTTAACAGTTTCTTCTCTCACTTGTGGAACTCCCTTCTTGCTTTCTAGTTAAGTTACATATTCTTTATTGCTTGGGATAAAAATGATTTAAAAAAAAAATGATATTAGAGAAAGCTGGAGTAGATTGTTCTCATTCTGTCATCCATGTCTAGGAATGTCTTGTGCTTTTTTTAGTACTGCTCAGTTATTGCAAGAACAAAATGAGATATCTCTAGACAGGGACAACAATCTACCTCTGTAGATTAAATAAAGGGTTCAGTTTGAAATTTCTATAAGATTACTCAGATATACGGGCACGTGAAAAAGGCCAGAAGGTACAATAGCTGAAACGTTATAGCAACAAATATCAGGCCATTAGTCCAATTGTTGATAATATAAATAATAATTATTATTAATATTATTATTATTATTGTTTTCTTTCAGAAAGACAAAAACCTGGATACTCCTGAGTATAAACAAATTTTACTAAAACAAGAAAATTGAAAAGGAAACAGCATAAATTAAAATAATGGCTTTTCTACAAAATTCACAAAGTTTTCTTTTCATCCTGAATGAGGGATGCCAGCTTAGCAAAAAAGTATTAACAACTTAATATTGAAGCACACATACACATTTTTTGTTCTGATCTGAGGAAGCCTATCTAAAGATGGTAAAACATATAATCAAGTCAATAAAACAACTTTCCATTTGTCAAAATTTTTCAACCTTTTCCCATATATGAAAGAAAAAAAAAAGAAAGAGACATACACATACACACACCCCTGAGTATATAAATACACCACTTTCAGCATTTGGTAATTTGGTAAAATCTATGTTCACTTTGGCTTTCTCAATATTAGAAGCAAGTGCAACAGTCACTTATTAGTGGCAGATTATTCACTTTAAACTGTTCATCCATTTGTAGTGATAAAAATCAAAATATAAACTCTTCTTTTTTTAATATTTAGTATAACAGCAAATGCACATTAAATCTCAGAGACTCAGTAGAAATCTGAACTTTACTTGTTTTTAATTAATAAAAATGTTTGAGTAAAAAAAAAAAAAAATAGATATTTTTCTCCATATTGGTGTTTGTTTTTTTGTTTTTTTGTTTTTTTTTTTGTTTTTTTTTGGGTTTGTTTTTCCCCATCATTCAATTTCTGGAAGTCCCTCAGATTCACTTATCTTTTGCCTTGTGTAGATTTTTTGATGTGGCTTACTGTCTGCCTCATGTTCAAAAAGGCTACATTCTTCTGCAGCTCTTTCTTCCTTTAATTGTCTTTTGTTCACTCGGACACGTTGGAAATAGCCACACTACAAGGAAAATAGTAAAAATTGCACACAGTAAGTAAACAGCACAAGTTCCTTTTCCAACATTTAAATATATTTCATTTAGCAGTTGTTGATGATATCAACTACTGAAATGTAACTAGAAGGAAAATAATGATATAATTAAGATGCTGACTTTCCACACTAACTTAAACAAAATGTTAGAAAGGAAACTCCTATCAACTGGCATTAGATTTTTCATGTAAGACTCAAAGAACTTTCCCATTTAACAAAATGATTATATTGTTTTCTAATCCTTAATATTAGCTTGAATTTTTATTATTAGATGAAGTATTGTCAAACACTATTATTTTGGAGGGGGGGCTTATTCTTTTCATCATGACTCAGGCCATCACTTTATGGTTGTGAGCAAACAGCATAAATTAGAACTAAAAGAATAGTCTCCCAATGAAACTTAAACTCTTTTGTCTTGCGACACCTGCTCTACCATTTGAGTGACAAGCAACCAGCAGTGCAAAGTTAAATTTAACCATAACGTGCTTATTCCTTATTTTCTCACCCTCCACCCCCGAAAACACGTGGCATGTCATATTTGATGCTTGGTTGTTATTGAATCAATTATCAGGTCTGCTGCTAGGAAAGTTGATTCACTGTGTCATGCTAGACAATTTTTCTCTCCAGAACTTATCTTGCATATTTATAAGTCAGCTATTCATCTATGCTTCAAATATTGCTGCCACATATGGTCTCTTGCTATATATTTAGAGATTTTTGATAAAATCCAAAGAATCTGCAATATTACTGGTACTAACCTGGCATCCCAGCTTCAGTCACTTTCCTACTGCCATATTGTAGCTTCCCTGCACCTTTTCTACAAATATTTTCATGGTAATTGTTTTGATGAATTTTCTTCTATGGTATTTAGACTTTATAAATTTAATAAGACCTTGTTGCCAATCTAATATAAATAGTACTAGATTGGCAACAAGGTCTCATCATCTTACACTTGAAATGTCTATATGTAGCTATAATTTCTGTTTCTTTTCTTGTCTGCAGAACTCTTCCAGCTTCTTGCTTTCTAGTCAACAATCGTTATCTGCTGTCTTGATTCCTCTTCTTTTATTGTTTTCACTCAATAATGCATTATTTTTTATTATTGTTTCACACTCAGTAACCCACTGTATCTTAGTAGTTTTATTGCTTTGCTTGGAGTGAAATGATTCAAAAAATAAAAACATACACTAGTAGTATTAATAGTATTTACTAATTTGTATTATTAGATTAAGTATTTTTAACCAAATAAGATATACTAGTCAAAAATGAATAATGGTTGATAATACTTTCTCTAATAAGAAAATCTAATAATGCTACCAGTATATAGTAATAAAACATCAACCTTGCAAAAAATCTGTAACCTGATTTTCCCAAATGTTGGCTCTTGCAGAAAAGCAACTACATTACTTTTTTTCTAAGAACTTATTCATTCTCTTCTCCAATCTGTAATGTTTACTGATAGCCATAAAATGACAGCCTGAGTATCAGTGAGATGAAAAACTAGTAAAAAAATAAATAATTGTCTCTTAATATCCTTTGTAAAAGACTCCATAGAACGTTTCACTTAGATCTGTTTTATTTCAATACCATTCAGTAAATAACCTAATTATCTCTATAGTAACTCCCCATATTACTTGTATCACTTGAACAATTCCAACAACAGCAACAACTAAAATGAATAGCACATGTAACTAGAAGGAAAATAATGATATAATTAAGATACTGACTTTCCATACTAACTTAAACGAAAGGTTAAGAAGGAAACTCCTATCAATACTAGAAAAACTGTTTTAAGAGAAAGGCTTTATAAATTTTAACTGACAGTAATACTAACTGTTCACTCAATGAATGTCAAATGTTTCCTGTATAGAGATGGTTAATGTCCATATTGCTATTAGAACTGAAAGAAATATATAATTTATTTCTCTTAAGTTTGCCAACTACAAATATTACTAATAATTAAACCACACATTTTTATTAGAAGTTTCAACTTACATGCCAAAGTAAAATACTGAAGATAAGGAGGGTAAGCAGTCCAACTGCAACACTGCAGATGACAACCCACCATTTCAGCTTGGCTGGTAGACGGGTGATTATAATAGTTGACTTTGCCTGCAAATAAAAAGTAACTTCAGTGGTGATAACGTAATATGTTGCTCTATCTTTCAGTGTATCAAGTTATTTATAGACTTTCATACAGTCAACCATGATTAAATAGTTGTGAGGAATTTTTTTTTGAAGACCATGGGATTTGTTAAAAAAGAAAAAAAAAGTAAGCAAAGTTTAACATTCATACCAGCAAAAAAAGAGTGTGTCAAAAGGACATGCCCCACACCTACTGGACACCACTGTATACTTCTTTGGTAATTTTTGTTTTAAAAGGTTATTTTTAGAATTTTGATAAAACCCCAACATGAAACTGAATTTATGCATTCTCTTTTAATGTTTAATACTTTTGTTAATGCACACTCTAATGAATAAATAGTGTTTAACATTTTTGTTGACAATTCTTGAGAAAAAAATGTATAAATCCAGATTCTTGCAAACTATTTTAATTAATTTATGTGGTGAGAGCAAATGAAAGAAATGCCTGGAAAAGTTATCTTTTTTCAAAATTTATAATTACACTTGTAGTGTGTTTATTTAAATTTTCATGTTCTCTGATTTGCAGACATTAATATGATTAATAATAATAATAATAATATTGTGAGGGTTGGTTGAAAAGTTCAGAGACTGACCAAGATATAAATATAAGTAGGCATACCAGTTGGTAGACTAAAAGACATGCAAATATATCAGAATACAACAGCTGTTGTATTCTGATGAGACCTTGTTGTCAATCTAATATTGAACTTAAATTTATAAAGTCTAGGTACATCAGAACAATTACCATGAAAATATTATAGAAAAGGCACAGAAAAGCTACAGTGAGAAAGTGACTGAAGGTGGCATGCCAGGTCAGTACATATTATATTGCAGATTCTTTGGATTTTATCAAGAATCCCTAAATAACAACTGGTATATGTATTTACATTTATATCTTGGTCAACCTATGAACTTTTCAGCCAATCCTCATACATTGTAGTTTGTTGACATATTTAATAATCTTGTGAATGTATATTTTTTCATACTAATGTTCACTGTATGCAAGAGTCGCTCAAAGTAGAGGGTTTACTGAAGGCAGTTGTTATCTGACCAGTAAGATTTGTGGCACAATTTATGTGAGAAAGATAATGGTTAACCCTTGACTTGCAGAGATTAAGATTGTAGTGATTAGGAAAGTATTCTCTTGGGAGCCTGTTCCATAAATCAGTAGTTCTTGAGAAGAGTGGAACTTATTACTTATTAAAGGAATATGAAGAGAATTAGGGTGGTTTGCCTCTAATGTAAGCAGCGTTGCTGGGAGAGTTAAAGTTGGGGGAACTAATGAATTTAGTACATTTGAACATTATCCAGAGAAATAGCGGTAGAGTAGAAAGAGACTTACAACATTTCATCTGTGAGAAAATGATTGTAAAGTGCAAAACAATTTATCACTCACAAGGCCATGTAGACACTTTTGCACTCTATCAAGCCTGGAAAGGTCAAAGAGATCAACTAAACAATCTAATAAAATAAATAGTATTTAATTCTTTTACTGTCAATTCTTGAGGAAAAAGAGAATGTATAAATCCAGTTTCATATGTTAAGGTTTTATTAAAATTCTAAAAATAGATTTGTAAAACAAAAATAATTGCTGAGGGAATATACAGTAATAATGGTGTCAAGGTAAAATGTCCTATTGACACATTTTTTTTTTTTTTTTCAGGTATGAATGTTAAACTTTGCCAAAAAAACTGGATACAATAAATATTAATACATAACTAATTCTCCTCTTACTTAATATTTATATGCATCATGCCAAATTACTTTCTACCTTATTTTCAATTTAAAAAAAGATTTTGTTTTACATGATAAAAGCATGATTTTCTTCAGTGAAAAATTGAATGTTTTTGTCCATAATAATCGAAACAAACTAGCAAAAAGAAAAAAACCACAGGTAAATTTTGTGCATAGTATGTTTACATTTTTCATTATAATGTAGGTAAATGATGTCATAGGGCGAAAATAGAGCATTTATTTTAGATAACAAACATTGATCTTGCAGCATAAGCTGTTTCCTTGCCAATGCACTTAATACACTGGTAAATAGTAATCACATACTAAGCATTATACACTGAAAACGTGAGGTCAAAATTCAGCTAATAACTAGAATATGAACTTATTTATTAACCATTATTATGCTTTTACCTTCTGCATCCAGACTGGTATTTTTTCATGAGAAAACATTAAGGAAAAAAATTACAAAAAAAAACAAAAACTCATGTTAATTCATGTTAAATTTTTTTCTATAAATATTTTTGTGATAATTTTATAATTTGTGTATAATGATTTTCTTTTTAAATATTATTTGGAGTTAAACATTTGAGAATTAAATTTACATTTTTCTTTGTCACTTAATTGCAACCATTTGAAATGACATATTTTCTCATAAACTTTTACATAAAAGCTTTCATAAATATCTTTGAATAAACTGTTCTCCTTTAAGTTTGGGTATTATAATCAATACATTCTCTTTAAATATACAAAGGGTTACCCAAGTTTTGAACAGCATGTACAAATGAAATGTTTCTCTGTTACACTAGTTTCAACACTGGTTCACAAAAATTTTTTTTTTTTCATGATAAAATTTCTGAAACCATGATGCGTAAACTTTCCTTAGATTAGAAAATGTTTCCAATATCTATTTGCCTCATGTACAAGGTTTTCAAAAAAGTTCATCCACCCCACCAAATCTTACCTTAGCATGATCAGAATGCACAACTTTTAGTCTGTCACTGTGAAGCTGTGTTAGAGTGCTGGTCGTAACCATGTGTATGCTTCGAATCTGACCCTGTAAGAATTTTGAAATAATTTTTCTCATTAAATTATTAAGTACATGAAACTGTTTTGCATATAACAATGAATTTAGGACCTTAAGGCAGTGACTGAATTCTGTTAAACAGAAAAGGTGTTATTCTTCAATATGACAATGCAAAGTTAAACTCTGCACAACAAACAAAGAAGAAAAGCAT